CAGGGTGACGCTTTCAAGATTTGCTGCTAAATCAGGAAATATAATTTTATGGCAAAGTGTGGTTAAAAGATTATATTTGTGCGTTTAAAGTGAAGCTCGCCAAGCTAATCATCAGCAATTATATTCACAAAATACTTTATCATCTTATCTTTTTATGGTATTAATTAATGAAACCGCAAGATGGCCAATTTATTTTTGCATCTATTTTTGTCATTTTTATTTATATTTATTTATTTAATATACATTTTAAATTGTAAAAAAATATCGCTCAATCGAACCAAATCAACAAGTCGTATTAACAGTTGAAAAACATTTGGAAAGCTTATATATACACAATATAGGTGAATTTATGCTGTTAAATATATGCGTAAAACAACCAAAACGGCCAAACAATCTTGTTAATGAGAGACAAATGACATTATTTTGAAAGCGGCCTGCTAACTTTTGCCAAGATGACACCTTGTTGTTACTCTCCACAAAGCCATGTATTAGGAGAGGGCTGTGGGGGGGAGAGAGGTGAGGGTTGGGGGATTACGGAGGTGTTGGTTTCACATGACGGTGGGGTGGTGTGGCCAGTCAAATGCACAATCAGGGAGATCAAAGCCCCAATGTGAGCTTAATTATCACCCCTCAACCCCCCCTCTGCTTTCACCCATACAGGGATACAGGGGAGGGAGGGAGGGAGGGGAGGGCAAATTACACATACCCCCTCCCACTGCCTCGGAGCTTTTTTCCTATAAAAATAGTGGTAACAATGGCGAGCAGCGGCTGGGCGCATTCTTCGTGCTCCGTGGCCTGTCACAAAGAGAGGGCCTATCAGTCAAAGGCGGTGGCAGCGCACAGCTTTTCTCCTGCTCCTCCACAAAAGCCGTGAAAGACGCTATCTCCCCGTGCGGAGATATGACACCAGACAATCTGCTGTTTCCTCACCGCCACAACACGGACACACTTGACTTACGGTGTGGGAGGTTGAAGCCCCCTGTCTCACTGAATACTCGCTGAAGCAGGCTCTGGTTATAGTCGCGGGTTCATTCATTGCTCACCTTCCAATATTTAGGCTGTATCTTTATTATTATTATTATAAACTTGTTCACACACTGCAGAAAGTGGTGCAAAATTTGTCAAAAAAATGATAAAATGTGGCAAAATGTATCTTAATTTGAGCGCATTTTGACTGCCTTAAAACAAGATTTTCCAATGGGACAAGTAAAAGTATCTTGTTTTAAAAATATATAAGAAATGTCTCCCTTGGAATGAGAAAGTTAAGCAACAGTTCTTGAAATATAAGACAAAATTACTTGGTCCCGTTGGCAAATCTTGTTTTCAGAGAGTCCGAATAATCTCAAACACTTGTTCCCTTTTTTCATGGTAATGCAGCACAATAAAACAATAATCCAGCAAATACAACAGTAATACATTCCATGAAAGGAAGAACAGGAGTAGGATGAAGAAGAACAAAAACTCCAACCCCAAGAAATTTACAAATTAGATTCAAGCATTTTTTTGCCTCATATTTTTCATTTTTTGGAGTGAAGACATAATTCATTCTCGCAGAAGCAGACTCTTTCAGTTGTGTTTCATTCATCCCCCCCCCCCCCCCCCCCCCCATAGGTAAAGCTTTATCTTTACCTTTACTATAAGCTTGTCCCCCCCTAGAAAGACGTGAATTCATCTCAAAAGTCAAACCTGAATACCTGGCATTTTTATAGTGCCTATAAAAATGTTTTCTCCTTGCTTCACAGCTTTGGAATTCTCACAGAAAAGTTACATTGACATTTCTTTAGTGTATTTCGTATCGATCTTTCAGATAATGGTGTCAAAATACTGCACCAGAAAAATGAGTTTAAAGATTTTCCCAGTTTTGCGCCATATTGATCTGCTTCACTGCTGATTAATAAATGTAAGTGTGCAGTGATTGCGTATAGATTGGTGTGTGCTCCAGCAGAAGCGACATATTTGCTTGTAAAACACATTGAAGTCGCCAGAGGACCTGTGCCTGCATCATTTACTCTCTATGATTAGAGAGCACTTTAAAAGTCTTTACACTCCTTTTATTGATGAAGATGAGACCAATCAGAGCAGTCACAACATATCGATCTGAAGATGCAGTGTTATTGTGTAATATATGTGTCAAAGCGTACAGGGGGGAAAAACAAGTGTATTTAATGCATGTTTATAATGCATTCATTATAGAAGTCCCTCAACATTTTTAATCTAGCATTAATCATAACTTAATATGTTAAACAAATACTGTTACTTTGACTTAGGATTAATTCTGTTTAATTAAACTTGTTGGGGGTTAAATGGCCGGTTAACCACACTGCAAAAAGTGATGAAAAATAGGTCAATAATGTTTCAAACTTGGCAAAATGTGTCTTATATTGAGCACATTCTGACTGATAAAAGAAATGTCTCCCTTGGAATGAGAAAATAAAGCAACAGTTCTTGAAATGAGACTAAATGGCTTTGTCCCATTGGCAAATCTTGTTTTAAGACAGTCCGATGTGCTCAAATTAATATAAAAACACTTGATTCAAGCAATTATTACCTCATATTTTTGCAGTGTTTCATCTGCTTTAGATGTGATGCACTGGTGGAAGACTTTCACATGCCATTTTCAATCATGTCTAATGTAAGCTAATGAAGTTTAGCTAAAGCTGGAGTTCCTAACATTGAAACCACAAAACAAAACATGAAATCCATGTAACTAGTCCATAGCTCTCAAAACAGTTTGGTTCTAGCACTTGTCATTACAATATTAAAGTATTTTTGGTCACATTAGATCAGCTTATCCTGTGCAATTGTGAGAACCAGCCCTCACTCAGAAGACCAGCTCTCAGTCTGTAAAAGATAAAATGTCTATATAAAAAGATTAAGCCAGTGTGGTTCGATTATTTGTCCAAACACAATTCTTTCTGTTGAGAGGAAGAGAATGAGAAAAGATGCAGAAGTCTGGGATTGTGTCCAGCAGAAGACATGTTTTATTAATTTATTAAAATGACGTGAGCAAAAATGTTCAGTCTGCACAGGGCTTTATACAAGACAAAACGGACACTCCTCTTAAAGGAATAGTTCACCGTTTTTACATACTGACATATGTTCTTACCTTACCTTAGACTAGTTAATACGTACCTGTGTGATCTTAGTCCGTGCGCTCTGTCATGCAAACGGAGCAAAAACGGGAGGACAAATGCAGCCTCCTCTGGTCACTGTGTAGCACCAAAAGGTAGCTCCCGCTAGAAGCTACCAAACTCTTCCAAGTGTTCCCTATTAAATGTATATAGTTACGTGACGTGTTACACTGCAAAGTATAGTAACACAGAAATGTAACTGTCGATTTTCTCAGCGGATAAAACGGGTACTATATTGTGAGGCGTAGTAATCTGAGGTGCGCTACGTCCGCGCACTAACTTCTCTCCGGAGACTTCTCTCTCGCTCACTTCCGTCAATAGAAGCAGCGTGACTTGTAGTACAGAGAGAAGTTAGTGCGCGGACGTAGCACACCTCAGATTACTACGCCTCACAATATAGTACCCGTTTTATCCGCTGAGAAAATCGACAGTTACATTTCTGTGTTACTATACTTTGCAGTGTAACACGTCACGTAACTATATACATTTAATAGGGAACACTTGGAAGAGTTTGGTAGCTTCTAGCGGGAGCTACCTTTTGGTGCTACACAGTGACCAGAGGAGGCTGCATTTGTCCTCCCGTTTTTGCTCCGTTTGCATAACAGAGCGCACGGACTAAGATCACACAGGTACGTATTAACTAGTCTAAGGTAAGGTAAGAACATATGTCAGTATGTAAAAACGGTGAACTATTCCTTTAAAGTCTGTGGAAGTGGAAAAGTGGAAAATCGCAGAGTTCTGCATATACTGTTAGAATGACAAGCTTAGATTTAACCAAAATTGCTTCAAAAGTGTCATAAAAAAATCAAAAGCGACATTTGCTACTCTGGTTTTAATCATTTCAAAAGTGGTAATTTTGTTATTGAACTCTACTTGTCTTCAGTAAAGTCATTTATACAATACATTCCTGAAGGGTATTGGCCAATTAATGCAAGGTGGACACAATGATTGAAGTCTCCCAACGAAGACAAATCCAGCCTGACAGCCTGATGAGGCCAAAGTATGCCTAAACCCTGGATGTAAACGCACTGACCAGAGCCTTCTCCAGATGTATCAGATTGGATTAGGATGATTGTCGGCAAACAGCCTGATGCCTGGGTCACGAGGTCGCCCTTCCTGATGTGTTAATAGGGATTAGAAGCTACAGGACGGGCCAAGCACTGCCCTCACACTCACGGCGGCCCGGCTGAAAAAAAGCACAAACATTGACCTGTTCTAATCCCTAATTAAGCAGCCCCTCCTCACTCTTTAACCCACAGAGCCTGCTGGCCCTTTCGCTCACCACTGTTTGGTCGCCTCCAGCCGAGGAACTGCATTGTTTACAGTGGATTTACTCCGCAGATAAGGAGCCCATCTGAAGGCCCATGAAAGAGCCCAGAAGATAAAGTAGAATAGAATAAAGAGAGGAGTGAGCTTTGAAGAGCACAGATCACACTGGTTAATCCCTGGCTCGAGAGGTCTCCCAAAGTTCAGCATGTAAAGTGAATGGACCTCAAAGCAGACCAAAACCCGACATTAAACCGGTGTGGCAAACAGTAGCTGCATTTAACCCCAGTCATTCAAGCCAGAAAACTTTATTACTACAAATACAGAAGGTGGCATGTGCAATATGAAATGACATGTGTCCACTATCAGTCTACTTTACTCAGCTGTGCAATAATAATCTGAATACCTCATGCGGCTAACATGTGCGAATGTATACATACAACTATTTATGTCTTGTACTAAAATATTCAGTATTTTATTCTGGATTATTTATTATGCTAAAGTTTAAGATTTTAGACCTGCTTCTTCATTACGCTACAGCTAGAGATGGTATACATCGATATGTTATTTTGCTAAAGTTGGAGATTTTATGATTTTTTTTTAGTACAGAGTTATTGTTCACTTACTTTTGCTGTGTGCTCCTCATTTCTAATGTTCTGTAACTGGTGATGCAACACTGACATTTCCCCACCATGGGACAAAAAAAACTATCTCTTAAGTCTGGCTGACACTGCTGCAGACTTAAAATCTTTGCACCTATCCAGCTTTTGATATGTTATTTTTCTTTCGTTGGATTTGTCACTTAAGCTGACAAAAATCCATACATTTGTGAGCAAGGCATGTGCATAACTTATTCAGTTTTGCTCATAGTCCTTATGAGGTTTTAAGATCCTTTCCCGCCAAAATGAGTTCCCACCTCCCTCATTAGCAGCTATACATGTCAAAAGATTTCATTTGCAAACTAGTAGACAGGGTGACTTTCAATGATCCAATTCTCATATTGTTAGCTTAAAACACAATATTATTATACATTTCTTGCATTGCTGTCTCACACTGTGTCATAATTGCAAATACATATGTTTGCTTGCTTTTAATACCTCGCCAGTAGAAAACAAGGTCTCTAAATGTGCCATGTTGATGGGGCTAATGCTGTGTTATGGTATTTAACATCCGTAATGGCTGCCGCGAAGAGAAGGCCATACAGCTCACTGGGATGTCTTTGTCTTTTACAGGGAATCCTTCTGAAGCGAAGTGGCAAATCCCTCAACAAGGAATGGAAGAAGAAGTATGTCACACTGTGTGATAATGGCGTGCTCACTTACCACCCCAGTTTACACGTAAGTCGTTCACCTCCTATACACGCTCACACATTCATGGTACCATAACGCTTGAACAGCATGGGTTTTCTGTGGCTGATATTTTTATTTGTAAATCTCAGCATTTCAATGTTTTATTTATTGATTTTTTTATGTGGAATTATGGCTGATTGGGTGTTTCTATTTTTTGTTGTTACTATTACTATTATTATTTACTATTATATTTATCATTATTCTATTACTATACATATACATATATTTTTCCCTCTTTCACGCCATTACAATTTAAACTAATACAGATAAAGATGAAGGCAAGTGAGGGCGATAGCAAAGTGTTGACATCACCCCTCAGACAAACAGCAGCATGAGGAGGAGATGTGTTAAAAGAATTGCAAAGAAGCCACGTGACTAGAATTTATAGTTATGTTTGAAGGATAACACACACAAGAAGAAATGTCATTGTTTTGGCAATATTTTTGAGGTTATGAATTAGCCGTAGGGGTATGAATTACTGACCTTCAGCTAATGTGCAGACCATAATAATTGTGACATATGAGTTGACCAGTCTTATTTTCCTCATTTTTTGTATTGCCTTAGAATAACATGAGGGACATGCATTGCAATATGTTGAATCTAATTGCAATACTTGGCGTATCGCGATATGTTAAGAATCACAATAATGTTGAATGGTGACCCAAATACTATCAATTCAATTCAATATCTTCTTCTTTAGCCCTAAATCACAACAGTAGTTATTCCGGAAGACTTTACAAAACGTTGAATTTGCCAACTCAGATCAGAGAATCAACAGTTCAACACAAGAAATGCGGTAACGATAAACAACACATAGAGCCATTGGTCCGTAAGGGGCAGGTGACCAATGTCCATAAATGATCAAAACGTCAGATTTTTGTCAATTCCCACCACTATTATAAATGATGATTATGAGTGATTGATTATTTGTTTGTTGTTAGTCGTTAGTGGAGCGATTTATGATCAAATAAACGTGGTTAAATTATGACATCATTGAGTCACTCTTGGCAGATCTCAAACGTGCAGTTCATACAAGGACGCCCAGGAATTTACAAGAGCTGGCGGCTTTCTCCCAAAAATAATGGGAACCTTTATTGTCAGAGAGGATAAAGAACCTTGTCCACAGCTGCCACAAAAGGTGCCAAGCAGTCATGGCAATAGAAAACACATTTATTTGACAGTAGTAAAAAAGAGAAACAAATACTTTTGGACTTTACTCAGCCGTGATGGATAAAAGAATGTTCCTTGGATTTCCTTGTTTAAACGGACAAGTCTTTAAGTATAGTTTTTTCTTTGGCACCACCTCGCTTTGTTACCGATGCTAATAAATATTGTTGTTCATTGGCCTCTCACCATCACTCTGGTTATATAGTTTCGCCCAAAAAATAAAAGTGCTCTGCGTTTTGGCATGATGTCACAAGTGCTAATGAGTCAGTCAGGCATTATGATTCCCCTTTTAAATGAACAAGCCTGTCTGAGAAAGTAGCTCCGGGAGTGGAGATTAAATCAATGTTTAGAATGATGATACTGTGATATTAGGCTGTATGAGTCAAGTTGCATGTTTCTTGTTGCTTGGGTTCATCCAATTGTTGCCGTTTGGTTTGGAATATTGGACTGTATGGCATTACATTTATTTTTCTATATTTGGAGTGACTTCATTTGACTAAGTTACAGGTGATAAATACAGAGTGTGGATCTGAGCTAATGTAAGAATTCAAGTGATTGAAAAAACCAAGGCCCGCAAGCCAATAACATGAAATAAAGTCATCAACACAAGTTCAGTGTCCTCCAGCCAACTTCAGCTCCTTCAATATAGTTATGCTATACCTCGTTGTAAAGCTCAGGACCTCTTGAATCTGTTTATTTAATGACTATTGTTTTTGAGTTAGTCACAAAATTCCATCTGCGGTGCTAATACGTAGCTGGTGAGAAAGTAAAAGTTTGTTTTTTTCAACAATAATAATGATAATAATGCATCGGTTTTATATATTGCTCATAGGCACTTCACGTCATTATTCTTTCACTCCATAAACGGTGTTGATGAACTACTACTGTAGCATAACTGCCCTGGGGCACACTGACAGAAGAGAGGCAACCAGTTTGTGCCATTGGCCCCTCAGATCACCACCAACCATTCACTCACACACCAGACTCATTTTAGGCAATGTGGGCGAAGTGCCTCAGGTCACAACGACAGTTTGGCACTGCTGCAGCCTCCCCACTGTGGAACATCGATTTCCCAAAGGTCTCCCATCACAACATTAACCGGGCCCTGCCCTACACAGCTTTAGAGGTCTGACGGGATCTAACTTTTGCATGCAGGTATGGCCCCAAAACCCATTGTCATCAGCTCAGGGGACATTTATGTCAAACTAAAGTGGCCCTCTTACTAAAGAAAGTTTGGACACCCCTGGTCTTAACAGGTCCCTGAATAATATGGAGTCATAAAGTCTTCCAAGTGTCTACCTGAGCAGTGAGTGCAGTCTCTGGTCACACGCTCGGGCTCCTCCGGGCCGCCATATCACTCTGTATGAGCCGCCTGTCAGTCCGAGTGCCGTGTTAAGAAAGGCGGTCCCCCGGTGGTCATCTGCGTCCCCCGGTGTGGGCTAATGGAGACATGTGCCTGCCGCGCCCAGGCTCCGCGCCGCCTTGTATTTAGAGTGGTTCTCGGCACTCACCAGCCGAGCACGAGCGGCCTCCCACATCCATCTCTGTCACAGTCCCGCTGGGCCCCTAATACCTCTTAAACAGTCAGACAGCTCCGCAGCCCTGTGCCCCAAACGTCCTGCCTGTCTGCTCCATCAGCCCCTCCATCAGTCTCAGTCTCTTAGCTTAAATACAGCTGCTCTATGATAAGCTGCTACGTTTAAAAAGGATTTGGGATAAGGAGTGAAGTAATATTGGTTTTTTATGTTTTTAATGTAACTTTATTTGCTCTTTTATGGGGTAATTACATTCACATAAAGAACAGAAGTAGAGGACTTATTCTTGTTCAACCCCCTCCCCAGTCTCATCACTATAAACAGAAATCTGAACTTCTCAATTTCATTTATATAGGATTTTTTTCTTTATTTTTTATTGCTCATGACCATATTGTATGGAGCACAAGTTATAAAACAAACAAAACAGCAAAGCAATTCATCATTTTAACTAAGGAAGGACCTCTTTTTTGTTTCAGTGTGGAATGACTTGTAATGTTCCCAGTTTTTCAGCAGCTAACATGCAAATTAGGCTAATTAACTTTATTGTGATTATTATGAATTAGGGTTTGCAAAAGTATCAACAATCGGATATTAATCCAGACTGAAACATGTATCTAAATAAGATGTTAATTTGAGCATGGCAAAACCCCCTAAGATTACATAAATACTACAAACATTTACATGTCTTGAGCATTTTTGCTAAATTCATGTGGCCCCCAAAAGACTGATATTATTTCTGGGATAAAAATTCTGTTTAATGTCCAAAAAGAGCATTCACAAATGACCACTGTGGTATCAAAATTGGTATAGAATTTATGTTGTTGGAATAGAGTTTGAAATGTGGTATCCTGAAAAAATATACTGTCCACAAATCCAAACTTCTGTGGTCTATATGACTGAGAAAGCTAAATATTCATACATTTTCCTAGATTACTGTTACATTTGAATGATATCTACAACCAGATAGTAATAATAATCTGCTCATCCCTTGAAAGGCTGCTGAACAAATAGCCATTCAACCATTAAGGCTAAATCTTCCCTTGTATGGTTTTGTCTAAGCGATGCGTTTATGATCTTAATAGACTTCAAATACGACCTCTCACGTAATTAGACGGCTTGAACTTCCAGTCGTCGTTGCGGCGGACGTGCTCCTCGTTGCCCTGACACTGTGCTAAGCCGCTTCATTTGCACGCAGCCGTTAGCGAGAGGAGCCCTGCAACCGCCGCTACGTATGTAATTGACTGAACGGACTATTTCTCGATCATTACGGCTATTGCGGGTCATCAGGGCAATCTCGCCGTCTATGAATCTGTTGACTTACTGAGAGGAGGTGAAATCAGAGAGACAGTTACATTAGCGCCCTAACAGCTCCAGCTCATTTGGGTGAAGAAGAAGAAGGAAGGAATGAACGAGAGAGAGAGAGAGAGAGAGATCGAAGGGAGGAAAATAGAGGGAAGGGAAGGGGTATGGAGAGGGGGGGTGGTAAGCTGAGAGTGGAACCTTTTAATTTCGCAGCCAGCCAAGCCATCCACACAATCACCTTCTGTTAATTCTATCTGCTACATCAATTAAATTGTTTGTAGAAACTAATTGAATGTGGCTTAATCACACATCTTAATAGCTTTGCACGCTTCGATCTGGCTGTTAATTCCAGCAATAAAATGAAATGAGAGCGCTCACTGGGTAATTAGCGAAGAGGCTTGGGAAAGAAATGAGTGCTTTATGACACAGTAATAAAGCGGAGGAGCCAGTGGGGGGACAGCACAAGCCCAGACCCGCTTCTGTGAGCTGTTTTTCTTTTTCTTTTTTTTCTGCTGAGCCCAATGATTTTCACCTTGGCTTCCCACATTTGGGCACTAGTCGCTTTAAACCAAATCTAATCGCCAAATTGAAGGGGAATTAGATTGTTTGTGTTCATTAAGCCCAACGTTGCACGAGTCGGAGCGGCTGTGTTGGGTACAGGTGGAGTGTAGTCAGATTGGAATCATTTCTGGGTTTTGTTCAGGATTAGATTGCATAGTTTAGATGACGGATGTATTTGGAAATCAATGGGTCATTCACAATTTGTTGTTAATATTTCAGATTATTTATCTACACACTACTTAAAGCTGCGAAGATAAGAAATCGAATCATACCAGGCATTGAAATCATTGAACATTGTTAGAGAAGAAGCTTGTCTCACATTTTCAGAAAGACTGTTCCAGGTTTTAGCTGCAAAAATCTGAAATGCTGCCCCCCCATGTTTAGTCCTGACTCTGGGCACCAGCAGGAGGCCAGTCCCTGTGCTCCTCAGAGTCTGAGTTGGTTCATATGGCACTAACATGTCACAGATGTGAAGTCGATTCTCTGAGCCACACAAAGCCAGCGCATAGACCTGGGAACTGGACTAACTTGATCATACTTCCTGATTATAGTCAGGACTCGAGCTGCAGGGCTTGGAATATACTGCAGCTGTTTTACAGCTTGTTTGTGGAGCTCAGTGAGCAGCTGGTACAGTACTACTGTATCCTTCTGGAGACAAATGCAGGAGAAGGATCTCAAAGTCTGCTCTCAGCACTATATTTTTGATTGAGGCAATGTTTAGATGGTAAAAGCTGCTGATATTACTGCTTTGATGTATAGCTGTTGAATGTTTCCTTTACAAGACATTCTGTTGGACAAAATGTATAATGGAGTAAAAGGTTTGGTACCCCAGCTTTAATTTGGATGAGAATACTGTGATGTACTGCCATTCTTGTTAGTAAGTAAGTAAGTAAGTTTTTATTTATATACCGCCTTTTCACTGCAGATCTGAGTCTCAAAGCGGTTTACAATTGTTAATTTTGGGCATTTGTCTCTCACTCCACACAGAGATGGGAGCGGGGCCAGTACAGGAGGCGCATGCTAGAACTATTGGACATATTTTTAGTGGTAGGGGAAACCGGAGCACCCGGAGGAAACCTACGCAGACACGGGGAGAACATGCAAACTCCACTCAGAAAGGCCCTGGTCCGACCGGGATTCGAACCCAGGACCTTCTTGCTGAGAGGCGAGAGTGCTATCCACTCAGCCACCGTGCCGCCCATTAATTCATTGTTACTGCCATTGTCTCATTTTTCTTGTTTTAGTTTTGTAGATGTTCTTCTCAATGTTGCTCTTGTTGTGTTTCTGACAGGACTATATGCAGAATGTACATGGGAAAGAGATCGACCTGCTGAGAACGACAGTGAAGGTTCCAGGGAAGCGACCGCCTCGAGCTGTAGCCACAGTCGCCCCCACCGCCAGCCCCAAAACCAACGGCCTCACCAAAGACCGCAGCGGCCTGCAGCTGGGCATAGGCAACACAGGTATGCACAAGGGCTGGGTCAGCTCTTATATCAACATGTGTTTCTATTTACTGCCACTGGAAGTAACACTTTTTCACACTGACAAAAACTTGTCAACTTTGAATTTAGACCAAATTTCCCGTAGCGCCTTCATCCTTCAGACTCGGCGACACAGGCTGATGTGTCAAAAAGACCCAGCAATTGGCTCTGCACTCTGCAACAATTAAGGGAGGAACACAATTTATTTAAGGGATGATGCTTTTCTTTTACCTTTCTAAAGTTGTCTTTGCAAATCATATTTGAAATGTATTGCTCTACTTGAACAATAAACTTGAACAATCGTAGTTCATCATGATTCCCTTTGACTTTAGATCATTTACTTAAGTCAGAAGAAACTCCCACACCCAGCACTACACCTATAAGTTATGTCCACTTGGTTGTGTCTCCTTTACCCAGATGAGATAAAATGACTCGCCGACCTTTTAAATACCGGTGCTGCTTTGTGAAGTCCCTCGTGAGTGAGGGGGCTTCTGTCAGGTAGCAACCATCTTTTTTGCTGCTGCCGTGTCAGCCAGGAGAACCTTTTCTTGAGTTTTAGCATAATTCTTCCTCATACTTGAAATTCTTCCGTTATTATTAAGCTAGCATACTTACGCTAGCATTATCTAATTCAAAAGGCGCATTTGCTTCTGTCTCTGCGCGAGATGGGGGAATTCGCGTCAGGGTCCGGTTCGTCCTGTCTGTACTTATTTTACGATAACAACTTGTGTTCTATACATTATCCCTTCCATATTATCTATACATTTGTGCAGCATGAACAAACAGGAACAGAAAGAAAACAAATATTTTTTATAAATATACCCTGTCCCTCATTTTACCCAAACTGAAATCACAAAGATACTAAGAGTGTTTGTAAAAATGAATATGCCATTAACAACTAAACGCTTTTATTGTTTACTTTTGTTAGTTTTATATTAATATATTATTTTTAAAAGCACAGCATGAAATGAAATCCGTTGCTTTTTTGCTCTTGATTTGAATTGAAACGCAGTTTCAATTGTGGTCGGAGGGGCCGATGGCACATACTGGTTGCCTCGCTTCTGTCAGTGTGCCCCAGGGCAGCTGTGGCTACATTAGTAGTTTATCACCACCGTGTATGGAGTGAATGAATAATGACACATGTGAAGCGTCTTTGAGTGTCCAAAAAAGCGCTATATAAAACCGATGCATTATTATTATTATTATGTACACAGACTCCTCATCATTCGAAGCTGAATGTAAAACGGATGTCACATGTCAGAGACTCCAGAATAATTATTATCTCAGGTATTGCACATAATGGCATCACAATGAGCGCTTTATTACTGTATTCATTTCCTAACTCCTCAGTTTGTAATTAATCATAAAAATGGCTCCCAACAGTTTAATTATTCCATACATTGCATCAAAGCTGATTAGCCTCCGCGCTGTACAGACAATGACGAGCTAATGAGCAGCTACGAGAGATCTATTAATGCTTCCGAAATTTTTGAATGGAGAATTATGCATTTACATCTCGCATTCATTTAGAATGTCTATTGCACTGATCGAATTATATGGACAATTACGGTCCTTAATCTTTGGCTTTAAATACTGTTTATCAAATCAAAAGCAACTAAAGGTTTTGTGCTCAATTTTCAAATAGACTTTTTCATTTTACTTTGGCCAACTAGATGATAACAATTTACACATATGTATGATAATATGAGGGGCAACTTTTTTCTACTAATTCTGGTTTTTAATCGATCAATCTAAATTATCATATTTCAGCACACAAAGTGATTCAGACATTTAAAACCAAAAGTCAGAAAATAAAACACACTGTAAAGAGCACACAAAAGGCAATATAAAAACATAATTTTAAAGTGATGACTGTGATAAGTCATATGGCTAAAAATTACTTTTTTCAGCCAGACTTGAATATAGCCAGGGTAGCGACGTGTCTCACTCCTACAGGGAGATTGTTCCAGATTTTTTGTATATGGGAACTGAACTGCTGCCTGTCCATGTCTGGTCCTGACCCTGGCACCAGCAGGAGACCAGTCCCTGTGCTGTCCGAGTTGGTTCATATGGTGCTAACATGTCACAGATGTGCTTTGGTGTGAGGCCAGAGGAGGATTCTCAACTTTTACTAAAACAGTAAAACAAGGACTATTAAAGAATGTTCCCAACTGGAAGAATAGTAGAAATCCATGGACTGGAGAAAAGAATCAAAAGCAAGAAAGTAAAATGAATCAAAGCAAGAACTGTTTTGATTCATCTTCAGACATTGTATTGCCCACCTGTGTTTGGTCCCCTCTGTCTGGCCTCTGGCTGTTGCTGTAGCAGTACTGTGTTATTGGTTACACACTTTCTGACTGAGCAACAAGCACAACAGCTTAAAATCACTCATAACGATACAAAATTAGATGAATAATCCTCTTGTGGGTCCCAGGCTTTATTCTAGCGCACGTTTAAAAATAGCTCATGTCAGATTGCTGCAGGCTGGGAGAGTCTGGCACCCGAGCACAAAGGATGCAGAGATTAGATGTAGGGGTTAAGATTAAGGGTAATTAACACTAATTAGCAAAGTGATTCCTGAGGGAGCTGCTGTAAAATAGTTTTCATCTCGCAGGCAAAAGCTAAACGACTCTTGAGTGGATCCGGTGCCAAATACGGGGTCAGTTGGGACTTTACCCACCATCCAGCCAGGTTACACTGCAAAAAAACGATTACATATGAGGTAATAAATGCTTGAATTGAGTGGTTTTTATCTTTATTTGAGCACATGCTGACTGTCTTATAACAAAATTGGCCAATGGGACAAAGCCATTTAGTCATATCTCAAGAACTGTTGCATTATTTTTCTCATTCCAAGGGAGGGAGCCTTGTTGTATATTGTTAAAATAATTTGTTCTTGTCCCTTTGGCAAATCTTGTTTTAAGGCAGTTACACTGTGCACAAATTAAGATTTATTCAGCCAAATTTTAGCCATTTTTGACTTATTTTTCATCATTTTTTGCAGTGTAGACTGAGAACTGGCCAGCACACAGGCGGGCCGGCTATGGGAATAGGTTCATCAGTCACAGGCAGAAAGATGTAAGAGTTTACTTATCAGGGACGGTGGATAGAGGTGGCCCCATCCCAAAATGTGTTCACCTTGAGCTCGGGTGTAGGAGATGGCACGGGGTCATCAGACCAGAACGCTTTGAAAACACAGACACAAGCGTTTTTTTTGTTTTTTTTTGCAGCCAAACACCAGCTGCTTCTCTGTACTCTCCACTTCTACTGTTCCAATGTTGCCATGCATTTGGATTCATCCAGGGAACAATATGAAGGAGATTCGCCCCTAATCCCCACTTAGAAAGAGAAAGGTTACAAATCACATCAGGTGGAGGACCCCATTCTGATTATGCGGTCGGGATTTTGATTTCATTAGACACGCAATTGATGGAGGGAACAAAGGAGTAATTTTTCATTCATGTCACCCAAATCACAAGCCTTGTCTTTGCCTTTAGTAATTCATTCATCCCTTTAGATGTGAAGACCTTTATAATCACTGCGAGAAGAGGGATAGTGGGGCAGAGCAGGAGAGGAGCTGGAGACAGGAGTGAGTGAGCATGCGCCTCTTTAATTCTTCGGCTGGGTGCTGAGCGGAACCGTTTTAAATATGATCGTCCCTGTTAGCGCGCATCCCGCCGTGTCACCCGCGACAGATACATTGTACCACAGTATTAATGGGCCCAGTCACTTTTAATCAATCCTGCCGCGAGAGCAGACGTGGAGAGTTCTAACCTCATCTTTAATCCTTCTCCTGCACTGATTTGTAGAGACGCAGGAGTGAACTGGAGCTTTACTGACTTTGTGCATATATACAAAAGGAATAGAGGGACTACAGACTCTACAACAAATACGACAACAGCACAGCACTGCCCGGTCTGATTGGCTTGTTGAAAGTATAGACCTGGGCTATATATAGAACTTCAATTCAATAATTCATTTATTTTTGTATTGCCCTAAATCACAACAGTAGATGATTCTGATTATTTACTGATCTGAAGACTTAGAGAAACTGTTCAAATACAAGAAATACAATGATAAAAAATGCATAGAGCCATTGGTCAATAAGGGGGAGATGACCAATGTCCATAAATGTCGTTGAATGTTGAGTGTCCTGGATCATCTCCACTGTCCTTAAACCCTGCTGCATCGTTAAGGAAGAACTCAGTAGATAGACAATACTGACTTTACAATTACAGTTGCAAAGATGCTTTTAGAATAGGCAATTGAATGTTCAATCATGTCCGTTATTTTTCATGATTCCAATCTTTGTTTTAGTTAATTGAAAAACCTTTACATAGCTTGATTGTCAGACGTCATATGTGTAGTGCGATAGCTGTCATCAAGTTAAGAGAACAACTAATTCCAAAGACAAATTTGTTCAAAGACAAAGTGACCAACTCAAATAGATGAGAGTAAATGAATGTGACGCTCTCGGAGGATGTAATGAAAAGCGCACAGGCGTAAACACAAATGGCGGCTGGCAGAGGTGGGGGGGTCGGGGGCTGGTGGATTACACAGCCACAGATGATGATGATGATGGTGGTGATGATGTGGCGCCTGGCCCCACATTAGCATGAATGCTTCATTATCTCACTACTTGTACATAATGGCAACAACTCCACGGAGGGGTCAGGCCTCGTCACGGCTCATCAGCCCACTGACGGCCCGGCCTAAAGAGAAATGAGGAGCAAGGCATGCCGCTCCCCACTAATCCATCGCCTCTACTTAACACGGGATGGAGCCCAGTGTCTTTGAGACTGCCTTTGCAAATGCTAATGTGCACTACGCTTAAATTACAATTTACAGAAATTGTTTCGGATAATATGAAATATGAACTGACACACAAAAAGTTGGTCTTGACGTAGCGAGCACACACTCCCCTGTGTTGGAGGTCGTTATTTGATTCATTCAGACCCGGGCAAAGGCTGCCTCAAGGACGTAAAGACATAAAACCTGACAAAACACAAATGACTGTTCCAAAGAAAGCATATGCCATGCTCTAAAGCTTTTTCTCATATACTATATAGATGAACACTTTTGAAATCAGTAAATGGCTCTTTGTGTCTCCACGTGTCCATCAGGCGACTGTCTGGCTGATCATAAAACATCTACTCTGGCAAAAGCCCACAATTGCTTGGCTAATCCTTGTAATATAAAACTAGAACCCTATTTACAGGTAAGCAGGTCAAACAGATGTACATGTACATGTACAGATGAGAACTATTGAAGACGATGATAAATGATTGTGTCTCAGCAGAAGACCTGTTTTATTCTTGTTACAGAGCATCAATGACACAACTAGAGTTTTCAAAGCATTCTCATGGTTTTATACCCAGCAGTTTCCTTATCCACCATGCCGCAAATAAATACATTGGCTTTAACCGTCACATCACCTTAACATCACGTAGGAAAGACTGACTTCTGCATACGCGTGCAAAGACTTAACTCAGTTGAAGTATTTGCACAAAAGAACCATGTTTGGTTCTTTTATGTTTTATATATTCTTTACAACAGAAACATTACATACGTGAGGAAGAATACCTGACTTCCCACAGTGATCTGGCCACTTCATTTCATTCTACACCAATCGACTGGAGATCTGATGGACCAGCATGTGGCTGTTAAATTCAGGATTTAATAACAAACCATTTTCATTGACTTGTATCTTTCTTTCTTTTTTAAACTCCATTAAAAATAGTTGAATAACTACTAGGTAAGTTCTATTGATACTTAAAATTCAACAATCACCTCTAATTGTCAAATTGCATGCTAATGGTGAATGAATTATACATGGCTGTATCCATTAGTCCCCAGAGACCACTTGTGCATAAAGGAGAGGATAATGTAATTACACTGGAGCAATAATCAGCTTGTGGCATTAAAAAGAACATGCCATTATGGCTCCAGCCAGGCCACGTTTAGCTCCATGCGTTTAGCTCCCCTAAGGTGTGCAACTCCTCCAGCTACTTCTATCAAAGGACAAAGAGTGTTCAGCAGAGGGCTGCACTGACTGAACGATCGAAGCCTTCTGGATCAAGGAAACTGCCAGAGTGTGTTTTTGACAAATGAATATTGTGATTTAAAAAAAACATTGTCATCCCTGTTAAGATATCTGTTTTTAAAAATGCATTTTTATTGTTGAGAATAAAAAGAGAAAATATATAATATGTCCATATAAACTCCACCTGTTTTCCTTATGTTTTCTGAATAGTAACGATGATGCCTTGCTCTTGTAAAGCCATATACAGGCTAGTCATTATACACACATTTTCCTAATCTTTTCTACTCTATCTGTCATCACTTCTAGAAGAACAAAGTTTCCGCTTCCTCCCAGCCCCCTCTCCTCCTCTGCTCTGATTTCAACATGCTAATTTAGTCAGAGCTCCTCAGCGTGATTCCCTCGCTCTCACTCCCGTTCTTGCTGCGATCGTGCTCCCTCCCCTCTGGGAGCCGAAGATTAATATTCCTGGGCCCAACAAGATAATTACTGATACTAATTAGACATGATTATGTGAATTTGATACACTTATTACTCTAGATAATGAGTAGGACATATTACCCTAACAAGCACCCGTGCCGCTTAGTTTACTTTACACACGACCCACACTATATTTTCTGTTAGTGTCACCTCCGTCACAAACGGCTGTTATCCTAATTGTAGGATGAGAAAAAGAAACCATGTGATAAAGGGTTAGGGTTAGTTATACAATATAGATTTTAAGTAATAACTGACAGATGTTCTTTGGTAACCATCTTTTAGTTTCACCTGTTTAGTTATTACAGGTGAAAATGATTTTTTTTCTCTACACATGATATAGACTCACTACATGCAGAGTGACATATGCCAAGCCTTTGTTTATCATAGTTTTGATTGGAAATAATGATTATGCTTTCAGCCCAATTCCATATTGAAAGTTGAATTACAAAAGTAAGTTAACTTTTAAGATAAACTGTATTGATTTCAAAATGGATAAATGGAGAAAAAACGACATTCTAATATAACCTGCATATTACAGCTTTTTTGCTTTTCTTCACAATAGATGAACATTGAAAACATGAAGCCCCGTTTCATTCACGTGGACCTCAAATCTTACGTCCACATTACTGAAAACACTTGAAGTTGACCTTGAGAGAGCTATACATTCCCTCCATTCCCCCACATCCTTCCAGCCTTCACCGCGAGCGTGGCGTTTGGGTAAATGGATGAGTTTTAGGAAGTAACATCGCAGTAACTGCTTGCAAACAGGAGGGAGGGACCCCACGCAGCGAGGCCTAGTCCATGAATTAGTAAAGGGATCCAGGCCTCCGCAGCTCGCCTGATTGGAAGTCTGCTGACGCCAGTGGAGATGGATGTGGCAGTCAGAGGGATGAGGCGAGATAATTAGCGTTCACAGTGTATCTTGTTAATTAAGGGCTAATTAGAGGCTTTGGCGGAGGAGACAAGAGGGGTGTGTATGTGTGGGTTGACTGAGAGATGTGCACAAATAAGGTGGAAGAGAAAGGAAAAATTTTAACGTAGACATTTTAATTTGATTTGTCTTCGTTTTGTTGTGTTTTTTTTTAGGCGCGCCGCATTCCAACAGCAGTTCATCCCTGGCGGGCGGGTTGGTGTTTGGGAAGGACAGTATGCACCAGCGCTCTTTCTCGGTGTCCAGTGCAGACCAGTGGAACGAAGCCATCAACACCAGTACGACCAGCGGCGCATGTGAGGGCAAGACTTGTTTATACTTATCCCCACTACTCGCCATCATTTCAATTTAATGAGACCAAATATTACAAGAATCAAAGGATAGAGGCACACACACACACATATACACACACGCACACACAAACATTCGAGACCCTTTATTCGTCCCACAGTGGGGAAATTTCAGTGTTGCATCACAAGTTACAGAACAGTAGGAATGAAGAGACCACAGAAAAAGATGAGTGAACAATAACTGTATCCAAAAATAGAATAAAACCTATAACTTTAGCACAAGAACGAAGCAAGCATACAATCTCTATATTTAGATTATAGAGATAGCATAAGAAATAAGATTTTTTTTTACAGACCAAGGTCACCCAAAGCGCTTTCCCATGTTCACGGTTCAGATAGATTTTAGAAAGTCTAAAGTCTCAAGCTTTAGCAAAATGAAGAAGCTAGTATGAAATCTCTAACGTTAGCATTTTAAAGAAGCTAGTGTAAAATATCTGACTTTAGCATAATGAAGAAGTCAGTATAAAATCTCTAACTTTAGCATAAGAAATCAGCAAGTAGTAAGAAAATTGTATATTCTATAGTTCAAAGAATATATATAGTTGTATGTATACACTTGTACATGTTAGCAGGACGAGGGTATGGGACAAATTATCAGTAATATCACAGTTCCACAAGAAATGCATTATTAGCTCCTTTAGGTGGTAATTGACCTGGAGTTGCGTTTAAATCCATCCACGCCAATATCAGGAACTTCTGGGACAAACTTCTAACTCTGTCCCCTCTGTCTTAAAATGTCCCGTCTCAGTCCTGTAATGGTATGTCACACAGTCTCATCAAGTTAAATTTTAAAACTCATCCATCCCGGTGTGGGTTCATCACTTTTACTTTCACTTCACATATTTTACCCAAAGTAGGTAGCACAGAGAAGGGAGACGTCATTTCCACTTTGTGTCAGGCAGCTGGAAGTGGCTCATTTTCATAATTAGGTGATCAGGGCCCGCGATCGCCGTGACCTTTTTTAGGCTTTTTTACACCGATCACACGAGAGCCGCGCCACCACCCATTCATCTATCGCTCCTGTCGCTCCTGTCACTGTATTTGATTCAAGTAAAATAATATATTCCCCATTTCTGCATCCCTCCTCCCGTCTTGTCATCCACCCCCCTATCGCACTGTTTTCTTCCGAAGAGGAAAATGAATGCTTTTCGGGGCTACCATTTATCACCAGTTATTTCCCTCTCTTTGTGGTTGGCAGTAAAAAAGCACTTAAATGCACATCAACAGAATAACAGTCATTTCCATGCATGTTTGCACTCTGGTAGTTCTCATTAGCGCGGCGGCGGCTCCCCCCACCTCCACCACGGGCTCCCAGGGGCCCCGGCAGTTTAAAGAGCGCACTTTTACGAGCGCTGCAGGAGTCCGACTGCGCGGCCCTCGTGCTTCTGCAGACAAGGCTGTGTCTCTCATTTGGAGCCGGCAAACGATCAATTCTTGCCTGGACGCGAGGCACTTCCATCACCCCCCTACCCCCGTCTCTCCCATCAGCGACAAGCCCAAAGCAGAATTACTTAGGTTCGTGGGGTCCTCAAATAAATGAGTGCGGGAGGGAGAGGCTCGGATGTTTGCTGTATATATCGGATTCCCAAACATTTTTTTGTTAAACTAAGTTGTTGCTTCACAGGTTTAGTCCAAAGATATTGACAGGACTAAGTTGCACAAGTTATGACTACAGCTATTATCGCATCGTTTGTTGCTGATATAAGATTAAGATTCAATTCAATTTCTTCTTGTACAGCCCTAAATCACAACAGTAGTTATCTCGGAGGACTTTACAAAACCATTCGCCAACACAGATCAGAGAATTCAGAGAAAGCACAATTCATACACAAGGCAATTCAAAGTGCTGAACAAAATAAGAAAGCATTAAAATCATAAATAATCACAGAACATTAAAAAAAAGATACAAATATAAAATCCCTCAGTTGTATGCACAGCTAAACAGAACTGTTTTTAACCTGGTTTTAAACATTGTCAGAGAGGAGGCCTGTCTCACACTTTCAGGAAGACTGTTCCAGATTTTAGCAGCATGAATCTGAAAAGCAGCCTCCCCATGTTTAGTTCTGACTCTGGGCACTAACAGGAGTCCAGTCCCTGTGCTCCTCAGAGTCCGGGCTGGTTCATATGGTACTAACATGTCACTAATATATTTTGGTGCGAGGCCATGGAGAGACTTGTACACAAGCAGAGCTGTTTTAAAGTCTATTCTCTGAGCCACAGGAAGCCACAGGAAGCCTAAGGGGCTGATGACCAATGTCCATAAATGTCCATTCCAGTGTTGAATCACAGGGGACAGAACAGTGTGATTGAAGAGCACACAAACACATTGAATGAAATACAATCTTCATCTTTAGCTTAATAAAAAACATATACAGCTAACATGTATGTATGTATAAGTAATAAAGTTAAATTAATTCTGAATATTTCTTTTTTTATGACCCAAAGTTTACAGTAAGTCAATAGATAAATGTACTCTAATGTGATATATCAATAAAAATGACTTACTTACTTACTAATGCAACAATATTGAAGTAGCTCTCTGGTTTCAAATATGAATTGATGATGCTACTGCCGCTGTTTGCAGAACAAGGATCTGGGCTAAAAGTGAGTGAGTAAAGTGACAGTAGACACATGTTGTCCCATTCTGATGATTCTGATATTATTGCACATTGTTGCACTGATGCATGACATGTGAGGTCAGCACTGTTACTCAGTCTTCATTGTTCATTGTACAGTCTGACAGCAGTAGGGAGTGAACACCTGCCGAACCTCTCCTAAGTTTCCTGCTGTTTGCAAACTTGGTTAATGGCATAAAATGAGAAGAATTTTCTTACCTGACAATAAATGATTAATTATTATGTCTTAAATGGCCAATCGACTGCATACTTTTCCTGTTCAAGTGAGTGTGTAGCTTTTTTCAGTAATTTTAAACTATTTTAATAATCAATTTACTGTCAACTTCTCTATTTACAGACTCCCACACATATAAGTGCTGTGAGGTTTTTGTGTCAAATTTACCTAAACCTATGAATCAAATGAATAATCAATATTAATCGTTAGTTGCGGCCCGAGTGGGTAGCACTCAGGCTTCAAAGTAAAAGATCATGCTGTCGGCTCGAGGCTTTCTGTGTGGAATTTGCATGTTCTCCCTGTGTCTTTCCTCCAGGCGCTCTGGTGTCCCCCACCACCCAAAACATGCACCATGAGTAAAATCCTCAAGCTTGTGCCCTGAACAAGCCAAGCATCAGCGTAGTGACCACTGATCTTGACAGACGCCCAAGTGGCATTGAAGGAATGGTTAAACGCATATAGAAAAAACATTTAATAACATATTGGAGAAAAAAATATAAAGGTCTACACTAACAGTACATGGACATATTTACCCTTAAATCTCCTTTTTCCATGTTATATGGTTGAGAGGCAGTTTATTCAACCATACAGGAAAGACAATAGGGACAAAACTGGAGGAAAGAAATAACTAACGATAAACTTATAATCCAATAAAACTTTTTTCCAAACTTAAATATCTTTTGAGTGGAAAATAAGAGGACATTTTCCTGTTCAAATATGTAGTAATTTCTGTATTTGGCAGAGTCCAAAATATTATTACAGCTCATTAACCACCATCAAGTCTTCAGCTAAATTGCAGCTATAATTCGCTCGCATTATTTGGCAGTTTGTCCAATTATTTTCACGCTACTCTTAAGGTAACCACAAATGAACGCGGCAAATGAGCTGCGGATAATGTCTCGTACTATGATAGATTTCAGATCAGCAACATACAGACGGGGAAAATGCAAATGTAAGAGTTTTCACCTCAAAAACTTTCTTTCTTTCTTTCATTTCAAAAAGCAGAAGTTGCTCATCTTGAGTGTAGATTAGATTGTGCTGTGACCCCGCGATGGATAGATCAATAGAGGGTGTGAAGGGTGCTCATGTTTTGCCATTTGTATTGACTTGAACCAATCACTTCATTATCCTTGGCGAAGGTTGCGGGTTAACATAAAATGTGTTTCTGCGATGCAAAAACACTAGATTGATGACTCACCGCAGAATAAATGCTAACCATTTCCATATTATCTAAAGAATGTCCTCATTTGTAAACCCATTGGGCACCAGCAGTGAGGAGCAGCTCGTCACGTCTCTTGAATATTGAGTGCCAATTTTTGATTAAAACCCGGCCCAATTTCTCCATTGCTTGCATTCATAAAGCCAGTCATTCTTAATGCTTGTTTAGATGAAGCGATCCTCGGACATGTCTCAATCTTTGAACCGGAATTAAAAGCAGGCATTGTGAAGACGGCTGCTGATGACTCGAACTTGATAGTCACCGAAGAGTAATGTCAGACAGCCAAAGTCACAAGTTGCTTAGCATTTAAAGTAGTCCGCAATTAGAACCGAAATGCGTCACACTCAAAAAATGCCTCAAATACTCGTGCGACTCCATATTCCGACCGGATCCACGTGCTGCCGGTGTGATTAGGCAAATTAACACACCTTATTTAGTGCAATTATTTACAAGTGTTGAGTGGTTGTCAAACGTACAAAAGACAGCGTTTAAACATTTAATTAGAACGCCAGCCAGATGGCATATTAGGAGCCACGATGGTTAAAGGACTATTTGGGTAAAGCATAAGCAATACTTTCAACGCAGTTTTGCAAATTGCCATTGATTTAAAAGCATGTAAACCTCACATTTATCGTTTATCCAACAAGAATTAAACATAAAAATGATAATTGATGTGGGACAAATAATCTCTTAATCTTAATTTTCTAGCACAATTTTTATCCATCCATCCATTCATAGCACAATCATATGCTGTTTAAAGCTAGAGCACCTAACTTTGTTGCTTCATAAAGAGCTTTTGTTTGTCCCAACAGAAAGAGCCTTTGTTTCTTGTTTAAGTGACATTTTGTGTACAAATAAGACCAAAAAATGTTTCTTACTTACTGAAGCTTATCTTTTACATACTCAGAGCTGATTGGCTGAGTCAGTAGTGGTAACATACCTGACCTAAAAATGTGTCTGAGGCCAAATATATGCATGCATGTGAAAACTAGTGAAAGAACCAAACCGTTTTGAGAGCTATAGGAACTTGTTGGATGGATTTTATGACATAGTGATTGAAGACAACAGCAAACTATGCAGAGGTCTCAGCAGAAGACTCGTTTTATTGTTGGTACACAGCATAAGAAACACAACCACAGCGTTCACACGGTTTTATACCCAGGAAAAACACGGAATCTCCCCCAAGCATCCTGCACGTCGTCAGTAGATCATTTAGCTTCGATCCTTCAGAGAACCAAATCATCACAAGTGGAAAATCATTGACTTCTGCCTAATACTGTTGTAATGACAAGATAATGTTTTCATATAAATGCACAAAAAGTCACAAAAGGCACAAAAGATCCACACTATTTATTTTCATATTTAACCATTATTGCTTTGAAACTACTTGTTGAAATGTTATATTCACTCTCTTAAATACACATTTTTTGTTTACATTATTTTTAATATTATTTGTTTTCATTATTACCTATTTAACCAGGTAAATGGAAATCTGTTTTTCAAAGGGGACTTGGCCAAGAGAGCTGCACACGTCAAGGACAAACACATTAACATAACACAGAAAAAGCAGTTTAAATAAGAAATGAAACGACAATAAACTAATATAAATATGTTAAAAGTTAAAATATTGCATTACCGTTAAGTAATATTTTGTTTATATAGTATTATAAAATCCCTTTGTCCTGGTTCATCCAAACTCCACACATTTTATTACATGTAAAAATGTGTGTTCTTTTAAAAGCCGAGACTTTTCCTGTGCTAAGTTTGTAAATGAGGACAATGTAGTTAATGCAGCGCGATCGCCTTCTCCCGTGGCACTGTGCTTTACGCCTCGGCCTCCCGATGTGAGGGTGATAGCATGTGGGGCGTTTGATTTCTACACCAGGCCATAATGAAGTTTGACATTTAGTTTGGAGAGAGCAGCGGAGCGCGATCAGGCCTTGATTAGTGCGTTCTAATTGAGGATAATAAGGGGGAGGCGGTGATTGTTTCTAATTTTTGCCATTAATTGCAGCCGTTGGCTTTGATTGAGGACAGGCAGGGCTGCCATGTCAAGGGGCCCGGCAGAATCATAGTGCTCCTCACCCCGAGCCTCTTGAATAACAATGAATGCCCCCCCCTCGCACCCTCCACTCTGGGCCTTTTCACATTGTCATTCATTTCCACTGTAGCATTAGAAAGTGCGGTCCGCTCTGAAGCCTTTACACTGTCATTTCCGTGGCAGGAGCGTAATTCAGTATAATCACAGGTTAGCCGCGCACCTATCCGGCTGCCCAGGTGATCTGAGCCGAGTGGAAAGAGACTCCATTACCACGCCGCCTTCTTATGGCTTTCCAACAGACGGCTAATAATGTACAACCACCAGGCCAACTTGATATTTCTCAACAAAAGTAATCCAATCTGCAGCTCTTAGCTCTCAAATGAGGAGCACTTAAGGCTCAGGACCAAAGAGGTAGGGTGTGAAATGATAAGTTATGCTGTAGATATGTAAATGTAAAGAGGAAAGAAATACGTTTATCAGAATTTTTTTGCATTCCTCTATAAAGCAGAAACATGACAAAAATACAATAAAGTCAAATTGTGACCTATAATAAATAAATGTTTTATTTAAACATCCTTTATGCATTGCACTTGTAATTGCTCTTTTACTTTTGCTCCATTCTGTCCAACATTTACCATTTGACTCACAGAAACACAGAGGTGTCCTATACCTCATATGCTGCAGGTGTGGGCTGAATGGGCCGGGGTCATTTTCCACAACATTAAGGCCCAAAATTGATAATTAGAGGTGTTTATGACATGACTACGGCCCCTAGGGGCAGCCCTCCCCTTTAACCTCAAGCGACATTAAACAAATGCTGGCTGTCACATTGGAGGCAGGTCTGCGATCATGTCTTGCTGCCGCCATACGGAGCAGTGCAGTTGGGACAGACGTTGGCGCGTACAGGGAGGACCCCTGTGCCCCCAGCTGTCTGAGCCAGCTAATGACTCGTCTCAGGGGGGCTGTTGTAAGAGAGCAGGGAAATTGAAACAGACGCTTCCACTAGTGCTGCTACATGTGTGGCTGCACGCTGCCATTCAAGTAGAATAGTCCGGCAAATGCACTCCAGTTATGTTTATAGATGGATGTGATTCAGTACATTATATTACAAAAGTAAAAACTGTTTATTGCACCTGGACTGAAGCGTGCACATAATATACCATGTACTATCATAAACCACCTCAGTTTTGATTGTTCTTTTATGACTTCATGGAATAGTCCACTTACTTAACTTTTAAATTGAGCTCAGATGAAATGAAGTGTCTCAGGTGCTGCCTTCATAAGCCTCCACTCTGAAACAATGCCTCCTTAGGCCGTAGCAACTGTTCTCCCCCTAACGTTAGCATCCTCACCCCCCTGCTGAGCTCATCTTACTCCACCAAGACGGCCCCATCTCCCTAAAGGTAATGACCGAATTAGGCCTAATGTTGTACACTGGCTAATGGCACAGCGCCGCACATTATCGCATGTGCAACTGGCAACGACAACAGCAATAATCCCCGAGCCCCTTGTCCTCCTGCACCCCACCCCTGGGGCTGGGACGGTGCGCAGGGAAATGAATGGAGTTTGCTACACTACAATGAGCTTTTGATGGGAGACAATGGAGGAAGCTGCCAGCACCTCACAGGGTGGTAAGAACAGAGCAATATGGGGCCCATCTACTGGCCCTCCCCTCCTGCTCCCCCAGGCCCCTGGCCCCTACTCTCAGATTCATAATGGCATCTGGAGGGGAAAGAAGGGAAAGTGATGTCAAATGTCAGGAAATCAGAAGGATGGCAAGCTGACAACCCCCTCCCCTGGTCCCATTCCTTCAAACGCCTCTGCCCAACGGTAGCACAGGTTAATATCACATTTATAAAATCACTTACAAGAAACAAAGCCGGCTCTTAGCCCCCTGTCACTCTGAGACAGTTATATAGAGAGCTTTGCCAGGGGCCAAGCCAGGTAACCATTTGTTCACTGATAGCCCCATACTTGTCCTTCACTCTGTCCAAAACATCACCAACACACTTACTTTTGTGTCTATTTCAAAATGTTTTTCATGTTTTCCAATTGGGGCTTTTGCTGCTTCATACAGGGAGAAAAAGCCCAAATAAATTTGCCTTACAGAATGTGTGCCTCTTGTGATGATCCAGGACACTCGACATTCAACATTTATAGACATTTATCAACATGTATGGAGATTGGTCATCTGCTCCTGTTTTTTATCATTGCATTTATTGAGTTTGAACTGTTTGATTCTCTGATCTGTGTTGGCGAAATTAAACTGTTTTGTAAAGTCCTCTGAGATATCTACTATTGTGATTTAGGCCTTTACTGAAATGTAGAATAAAGGAACGAATAAAGGATCTCTTAATCTTAATCCATACAAAAGTACATTGAATTATCGGTGACTATTACCAGTCACTGACACAACTTAACATCAAAATGTTTTTGTTTTTTTTCTTTCAGCAAACGGTATGGGTGACCCGACCAATTCTAATTTGAGCGGTGCCACAAGTCCCAAACTTGAACCCCCGCCATCGCCCCACGCCAACCGCAAGAAGCACAGGAGGAAAAAGAGCACGGGCATCACCAAGCCAGACGGCCTTTCAACGGGCAACGAAGGTACACACACTCTGAGATTAGATAGAACTGTCGAAAGAACTTTGTCATGGGCACAAAGAAGGTCTGACTGTACAATGTAGTGGGGATACGTTTCATGTTTTTGGTTGATTACTTTGATATAAAACTTGACAGGTAACAGGTTATAACAAGTAAAACTATATTAGAAAAGAACGATCAAAACAATTGCTGGATGTACAACTTGATGACATGCAGAAATGAAGGAGCAAAACATGAAGTAGAGAAGGTTCAACAAGGAGTTTGCACATTTTAAATACTAAATCTCTCATAATTGTATTGTGTTGGAGAAATGCTTGTGTCTATTTCTTCACTATTGTGTCTATTTATTCACTTTTAATCATCTGTGGCGGGTCATTTTGACATATCTGTATTGATAAAATGTGAGAAAAATCCACATTAACATTTTTTTGTAATCCCCATATCAGGTGTCTCCAACTTTTCTCAGCTACTTTTATACAACAGAAGTGACAGAAAGCTTGTCCCTTTTGTAGTTGTAGTAAACGTCTATATAATAAAAACGATAAAATATGGAGAAAACCGGTGTAAAATATACCATAATACTGCATAACTTCACATTTATACTTATTATAGATACTGTATGTAATGCTCAAAATATATTCATTAAGGATCATGTGTTCAGCTCCGCAAAGGATTTAGAGTTTGACATAATTATAAAATAAAATCTCAATATTATATTTATTCACCAACGGAAAAATTAAAGGAGAACCTAACTTTAGGTTTCATAGACGAAGAGTCTTGTTTAAAGGTGCAGTAAAGGATTCAGGTTAGCTTTTAGCAGTAGCATCCGAGTACGCATCCCATTGGTTTCTTTCTATCGGTCTGCTCCAAAATACTTATGATTAATTTTTTGAGGTTACAGACATCTGGTCTTGTCCATTCCTATTTGAAAACACAACTTGGCTACTTTTGGGGTTTAGGGACTTTTCTCCACAGTATTAGAAAAATTGCGTCTGGATAAATCATTGACAGCATCTTTAAGTAACATTTTGTGAACTAATTAAACCACAACAAGCGATAGAGCCAAGCTTTTTTTTAAAGCAAGGAACTGGTTAAAATTCATTTTAGCACATAGTAAATTTTGTAGTGTCAAAGTTAGTCTGGTCTTGTCAGAATTTTACCAGTGTCAATGGTTTCCCAAACATTAGCGCTATTGAAAATTATCAGATATGGGATATGCTAATTGTGCTTGTTATACACTTGCTGTTGCATCTCTAATTGCCGTAATGTTAGTAGCTGAGTATATTTATTGTGTCCCTGCTCTTCCTTGCGTCGGCCCCTCGCAGACCCCCCCTCCTCGGTGAATAGTGCAGTCTCTTATAGCCGGGGTCCTTCCCAGCAGGGGAGTGGCAGTCTCCTCTCCACCCAATTAATAATGATTCCCCGGCCCAATGATGAATGGGGTGCCCTAATTGGATGGCATTGTGAAAACACTGAGATGCATTTCAGAGGCCATAAAACTGATGTCACCCGAGCGGGATGATCAATCAACAAGATTGATACGCTGGATAACAACAACAATGGCATTGACGCCTCCTAAATGGGGCTTAGCATTAATAATCATTATACTTTTTTATCATGGCCGTTGACAGCTCCTCTTTAAAGTCTGAATGGCTCTGTTGACCACATTGTATGGAGCGCACATCATCAGCATCACAGAGATAAGTGCGGCTGCTCCTTATTGTCAGACACTGGACCCTTGTATAGACCCTTTCTGCCTTCCGGGTCAGAAAAGCAGATTATTCTCTTTGCACGTTCAACTAAAAAAAGCTTCAAAGTAGGCAGCGCGAGTTTTATTTGTATAGCACAGTCGGTTCATACACATAGACTTTATACTTACTACTTATTATGCTAAAGTCAGAAATGTTATACTTAATCTTTGCTTCTTCATGATGCTAAAGTTGGAGATTTTAAACTTGTGGGACCAATAAAGAATCTCTTCATCTTAATAACAAGACGAGTGAAGAGTGAATACAATCCTTCAGTACAATACATTTGATATTGTCAGGATAGTGGCCTGTCTCACATTTTCAGGAAGCCTGTTCCATATTTTTGCTGCATACATTTGAAATGCGGCCACCCTATGTTTAGTCCTGACTCCTGCAGGTGCCCAAAAAGTAAAAGAATAGGATGAGAAAATGTTGTACCACTTTATTACAAGGAGACAATCTACAGACTCGCCTCATTTACACTGGTTTAGCTTGAGTTCTAAGGCGACTGCTCTCACCTCACATCAAGAAGGTTAGTGGCTCAGGGCTGTTTCCATACTATGGAGTTTGAGTTGTTTTATTCAAACCAAAACCCGGGTCATTTTCCCCCAGGCTGTTTAAAACATGCATATGAAGTAACATCTTCCAGTAAAGCTATTTCGATCCACATTTATATCTAAGGGATTTGGACGCACACACTTGTCCATTGATAATAATAAAGGATGGGTCAAATACCATCACCACCACTAATTCCACAACAGGAATCATGTTGATCTCATCTCATGTAATTATTCAGTGTTGGTAAAATATTGTGTATGTTTTTTGTTTTGTAGTTGGGTCCAGAATTAAATACAACACAGAAATGGTTACAGTTAATATAGGTGTGCTGTATTATCTGTAAAAGCAAGTTCCCCAGTTGTCTGTTTCTTAAAACTTAAAGTGCACATTGAAGTTCCTAGTTTGTTGAAGACAACAAGACGACATCATCTGCACTGAGAAAGAACTGTGAACCAAACTGGTGACATAGGGCAGCCTTGGCAGAGACCAGATCCACAGAGCACATCTGGACAGATTGGGCAAACTCCTATGAAACGTGTTCTGTGGCTCAGACGAAAATCACTGTTTCGCCTGAATCCAAGATTCAGAGAAGTCTCTTCTCCAGTACCTTTGAGTAGACTGTGGAAAAATCAAGGTTGCATTGTTAGAATGATGAGTTTAACTTTAACCACAGTTGCTTCAAAGTGTCATGAAATCTCCAAAAGACCGTACTGCGAAGGCTGAGGAGTGTGATCCCACAATAACTAGAACACACCCTCCAGCCTGCCATCTTGAAGAGAAGGACCACCACCCTAGACTGTCACTCCAAAGGCACTGTCCCTGATCGCCGTTATAGCCTTCGCTAAATTGTTTTTGCTTGGATCACAGTGAATGCAAGGATACGTAGGATACAGAAATTAGTTGTATGAATAAAGTTTACTTAACATCGTACTTATTTACTTGCTGAATACAACATAAGACTATTTCTAAATTTCTTTTGCCAATAATTCCCTCAAAAATGAACACTACTGTGTGTATGTTATTACACTTCTCAAACATACACAAGAATTAATAGACTCTTAATAATGCAATTGATATTTAGCAATCAAAATGACACATGCCAATAGTCATTTAAATGTACCATGGAATTTTTAGAAATAAACTGTGATAATTGTGGCCAAGTTTGTAGTAAATGAAGCCAGGTTACACTCCATTTCTTAGAGGAGGTATCAAAGCAATCAGGCAGGAGAGCCGTGTCCCCCAATGTTCCTCACGTCATCAAACACGCACATTGTTTTCCGTGTCTCACATTGTCCCTGTGAAGTTTTCTATTAGCCTCAGCTTGTCTGTTCTGCTGAATGCCCTAAAATACAGACGTACCGCTTTAAATATTGGATTCACCCAGGTCTTGATGTGAGCCAAGCGCGCGGGAGAGAGGGGAAAGGAGCGAGGTGCGATCTTTGAATAAATTGCTATCAGTTTATCTCATTTACGGGGCAATCAGAAGCGTGCAGTGCAGGCTGAAATTGAATTTTAGTAGTTTTGAAGCATCGTAAATCAAGGCAGTGTCTTAAGATGAGATATAATTTGAGTCGTGATAACATGTGTACTGTTTGAAGGGGAGCTGGGAGGAAACTTTCACTCGGGAATGTTGTGCAGTGCTGCCATGTTTTACTCTTACAATTTAGTCATTATTTGAAATTAAATGTCTTTATCCATGATTATTGAAATAGAACTAGAGCATGGTATTTTTCCCCCCCAAACATTTTTTAGATTTTTTACTGATCCACAAACTTTGACTAATAGTTTTGATCTCCGTTTTACAATAATTACCAAGTGAGAATGTATCAGAATAGAGATAATAGACAATGAAATGTGGACTATAACATTGTATTTAAAGTCAAAAATACAAAAAAAATGGACACTAGGGCTGCACAATTTTTTGTGAGTATACAATTGAAATATTTCTGCGTTTGGGGTAAAATTTTTGACACCCTGCGTGTTCAAAAGCCTATTTTTGTTCATAGTAAAAAATAACAACTTCAACATTTGAAAACGTAATGATAATAATACTAATGCATTGGTTTTGTATTGCGCTGTTTGGATACTCATGTCATTATTAATTCACTCCACGGTGGTGATGAGGTACTACTGTAGCCACAGCTGCCCTGGGGCACACTGGCATAAGCGAGGCAACCAATATGTGCCATCGACCCCTCTGACCACCACCAACCATTCACATGTACAACAGACTCATTCTAGGCAATGTGGGTGTCTTGCTCAAGGACACGACCGGTTGGCACACTGTGAGACTGCAAGGGTTGCTGATGTTGATAGTTCAGTGAATATGGCATTGTTTTATACGTTTGACCAAAAAGAAGCTCAAGTGATGCCCCCATGGAGATGACTGGTGACACATTGGGTTATTTGAGTAAAAGAACTTTGATTAAACACATTTTAATTCTAAACAATAATGAAGTTTCCATTCAAGCTTCGTTTCATTCGATATAGAATCAAGCAAGTCATAAAACAATTGTCAAAATATTCTGTGTAAGGTTAGACGATTGATCAATTACTAAATGTGTTTGTTTTCAACTATTTCAAGAATCAATTGCAGCCCAAAGTTGAACAACAAAAAACCGCTCCAGAGAGATACAGTTAAAACCGTCCTCATTGTTAATGGCTCTCAGCCCGACGGTCACTGTCCCTAATACTGTG